AAGCCGGTGTGATAAATTAAAGTTGTTCTAATGGGATTTTTTTTTCACACAAGTCTGTGTAGTACAGTATTTTGTCTTCAATTTAAGAATAAAAACTTGATTTAAAAACTGCACAATGTGTTTAATTGTGTTATCTTTGACTAATATTTACATTTGTTTGATGATCTGAAACAGTTAAGTGTTAGATTTCTGCTTTGCATTTGTTACATACAGATTACATACCTCTAGAACATTTCTCATTTAAAGGTGCAGATTTAAAGCTTTATGCAGATATTATACATGTGTCATATGTCTATAAGGCAAATATTAGCAGAGATTCAGCTGTTTTTTTTAACAGGTTTACCAGTCAGGCACAGAATGAAAAAGCATTCCATATCTGCTTTACAAGTTTTACAAAAACAAATTGTTTTGTTGTGATTACGAATATATACAAATAGAAACTGGCCATTTACAGCTTTCAAATTTATGTCTCATCAATATGACCAAAATTAATCTAGGAATAATCATATAAGAATCTGCTTAAATGTGTATCTGTGTAATGGACAGGAGGTAAATATGACAAGATCATTCTAAATATGATCTGCTTTGTCTTTACATTTAATGTGCATCAAAATTAAGATTTGTGTAGCCAATGTTTTCACTTCCTTTTCACTGAGTTTTAATGATTTACTAAAAAAGTAAACTTATTTCTATTTCAGACCTACGAGGAGAGTAAAGAGGAGGAACATCATGTCAAAATTGAGGACAAAACTCATTTAGAGACTGATGGTGTGTTAAATGTGAGAGACAAGAGTTGTTTTACCTGCACTCAGTGTGGAAAGAGTTTGGCAAGCAAAAGCAAACTAAAGACTCACATGAGGATCCACACTGGAGAAAAGCCATTCACATGCACTCTGTGTGTGAAGAGTTTCAGCCACTCATCATCTCTTAATCAACACATGAGAATCCACACGGGAGAGAAACCATTCTCATGCACTCAGTGTGGGAAGAGTTTTAGCAAATCATCGTCGCTTTATAAACACATGAAGATCCACACCGGAGGAAAACCATTCACATGCACTCATTGTGGGAAGAGTTTCAACCACTCATCATTCCTTAATCTACACATGAGGATCCACACTGGAGAGAAACCATTAACATGCCCTCAGTGTGGGAAGAGTTTTAGCAAATCATCGTCGCTTTATAAACACATGAAGATCCACACCGGAGAAAAACCATTCACATGCACTCAGTGTGGGAAGAGTTTCTACGATTCATCATACCTCAAAAAACACATGAGGATCCACACTGGAGAGAAACCATTCACATGCGCTCAGTGTGGGAAGAGTTTTAACTGCTCATCACACCTTAAAAAGCACATGATGATCCACACTGGAGAAAAACCATTCACATGCACTCAGTGTGGGAAGAGTTTCAGCAAATCTTCGTCGCTTTATAGACATATGAGGATCCATACCGGAGAAAAACCATTCACTTGCACTCAGTGTGGGAAGAGTTTCAGCCACTCATCATCCCTTAATCAACACATCATGATCCACACTGGAGAGAAACCATTCACATGCCCTCAGTGTGGGAAGAGTTTCATCCACTCATCACACCTTAATCTACACATGAGGATCCACACTGGAGAGAAACCATTCACATGCACTCAATGTGGGAAGAGTTTCAGCACATCATCACACCTTAAACAACACATGAAAATCCACACTGGTGTGAGAGAGTATATGTGCTTGGAGTGTGAGAAGACTTTTATTACAGCTGCAGATTTGAAACGGCACCAGAGGATTCACACTGGAGATAAACCGTACAAGTGTTCACATTGCAGTAAGAGGTTTACTCGCTCAGGAACCCTGAAAACACATGAGAGGATTCACGCTGGAGATAAACTGTAGACATGATCAGTGTGTTCTAGGGTTTGTTACCGAAACCCGGTGCCATTATAGCACCGGTACCATGGTAACCGGTATGCACCGGTATTAAATCAGCGTATGAATTTCGGTGCTGCGGCATGGACGTGAGGGTTGCATGAAAAAAGGCACATATAGGTGTTGTCACAGCATCACTAAACATTTAATATTCAACTCGTTTAGTTTTGACTTCATTCATTTTTGATTTCTGTCTTGAACACATGATTTATTTACAACACATTTTTAAACACAATAGTTTAACTGACTCGTTTCTAATATCTAACGCTACTTTTTTATGCTGACAGTCAGTGCAGAACATTTTACTAGTTATTTTGCAAGACAGTATTCAGACAAAGTCCCTTTAAGTATTTTATATTCTTTTATTTAGATTAAAGTGTAATTTAGACTTATCAGTTCACTACGAAAGTTAAAATAATTAGTCAAATTATTTTGTAACTGATTTGTTGTGTAAATCAAAAATATATAGTAAATATTTCTTAAGGAGGCTAATAATACTGACCTTATTTTTATTTATTTATTTTTATTAAAAACGGCTTTATTCATGAAATAAACAATAAGAAATAGGACTTATTATGACTCCAGAATATTTATGTTTTAGGAAACACTGTAAAAGTTTTCAGAAACATTATTTTAAATGAATGGGAGGGCAAAATGAATCGACTTCAACTGTAGGCCTGTTAAAGTTTACAGGTGCAGCAATGTGCCTTGATGTACTTGAATGTTAGAAATGTGTTCTCCTACACCAACGTTACTTGTCAAATAAATGAACAAGGAAGATTATTTTGAGTTTGTTATTTAATTATCTTGTTTATGAAGACTGCAGAGTGATGGATGAAAACAAATGACTTCCAATAATGTTTTAAGTATTTTGTGATATATATGTTAAAATGTGCTCCTAAAAGTATGTGGCCCCTGCCCGCCCCCCACAGGTTAATAGTAAGCTAATGTAATTTCATAATGCAAATCTTAAATTCATGCTAACCAACAAATGATCAAAGGAAATGTATTAATGTAATACAATATTAACTGATGTTTACTTTAAACTGTAATTATATTGTTCTATTAAAATAATTTTTAAAAAATAATTTGTCAAATAAAAATAAAAGTCGTCCACCATCATTTTGTGGCTAAAAAGTGTCGATTCAGGCACCGTTTTGGCACCAGTATCGTTTTAAAAGTAGCAATTTAGCACCGGTATCGAAAAACCAAACGATACCCAACCCTAGAGATTCACTCATTCGGGGCAGCTTAAGAAACACATGGGATGGTTTGCGGTATGGTGTTGACACATGTAGCAGCATAGAAGGAGCGCTCCCATACACACTGGTATTAATGTTCCAAAATGTTTTGATATCTATATATCAAAAAAGTAAATACATTGTACTTACGGTGTTCATAATGTCTTTTAGAACAATTCTGATACTCTGAAGGTGAAATACAGCTAAGGTGGGGACAGGTTTGGGGGTATGGATAGGTTTAGGGGTGGATAAAGGTGTAATTAAAGTTTAATTCGATTAACCAATCAAAAGTGCAATGTAAAAAGTAATATTCACTAAATTGTATTATGTGTCACAATATACACAGTAACTATATTGAAATAAATTAGTTAAAGCACTTAATAAAAAGGGGGATCAATCTTTTTCTTACATTTGTTTCAGTTTTTACTTTGGTGTAATGTATATGTAACTTTAATGTATATACAGAAATACCTTTTTGTATAGCACTCCATAAAAGGTACTAATTTAAAGAAAAAATCTCTGAGGGGTATATTCATTTCCGCTGAGCACTGTGTGTGTGTGTGTGTGTGTGTGTGTGTGTGTTCTGCACTTATTTCTACATTAATTAGTACACTTCTCACAAATGTCTTTTAAATAAATAGTTTTGCCTTGTGTTATACTGTGCCTACACATAGCTTACTATTAAATTGCAGAGTGAAAATGTATAAATGTGTTAGTTTGTGTTCTGTGGTACAAACATTTGAAAAATAACAATTTTGTATGTATTTATGCTGCAAATGCACACTTTAATGGCTCTGATGTGAGCCATAAAACTCCTGAAGAACCAGAAATGCATTTAGTACATTTAAATAATTAATATATATATGTATATATATATATATATATATATATATATATATATATATATATATATATATATATATATATATATATATATATATATATATATATATATATATATATATATATATATATATATATATATATATATATATATATATATATATATATATATATATATATATATATATATATATATATATATATATATATATATATATATATATATATATATATATATATATATATATATATATATATATATATATATATATATATATATATATATATATATATATATATATATATATATATATATATATATATATATATATATATATATATATATATATATATATATATATATATATATATATATATATATATATATATATATATATATATATATATATATATATATATATATATATATATATATATATATATATATATATATATATATATATATATATATATATATATATATATATATATATATATATATATATATATATATATATATATATATATATATATATATATATATATATATATATATATATATATATATATATATATATATATATATATATATATATATGCTTTAGGAAACTGAAACACAATTTAAGAAAATAAGAGAATTTTTATGGTCTCTTACCGTCACTAACAATAGGAACCACTAAAAATACATGGAGGAAAAAAAGTCAGATTTTATTTGACACACTTTTCTGTACATTTGTAGACTAAATTATTAAACATCCTGTG